TGTTGTAGCAAGCAAGCGGGGCCTTCAAATATTCGCGCGAGGCGCCCAGATCGGCGGCGACAGGAAATGCAAACGGGTGCAATTCACCCTTCCAGCGGTCGCGCCGCCGATCGTCTCGCGGGGAAGGGCCTCGGGCCCTCGGCTCGCGGCTCGGCTCGCCAGTCGCCCGCTAGCAGTGAGTGTGGAGGTACCATTTATATTCATTCAATTCAGTTCAATACAGTTTAATAAGTAAACCAACAACTTGAGTAATATCCTGACCAAACCCGAGATAACTAGTATTACAACAGCAGTTTCGTGAATGCACTCTAAATGGAAGGACAATTTTGTATCCAGCGAGGATGTGTGTTCTCCAGCACATCTCAATCGGACGCAAATTTGTCTCTAAACTAGACACAAAAAAAAGTTATTTGCACTTTAGACTTTAGGTATACCAGGTGGCTTATTCACGCCGCGCACTTCTTCCGGTGCACTGTACCGCATGCAAGAGTGCGGGCGGGCTTGCCTATGGCCCTATCCACGGCGCCTTACGAGCCGAGCGAGTAGGCAACCCGCCCGCAGCATAAATTACAGAAGTGCGCGGCGAGAATCAGCCACCTGGTACAAGTACGTCTAAAACTGCGTAACTTTTCTGATACAAATTTGCATCCGTTGAGATGTGCTTAAGAACACATCTTCGCTGAAAAGTACAAAATTGCCCTTTTCCATTTATAGGTTGGACAAGCTTCGGGCGAGCTATTTTATCAAAACTGTGAGTAAGGTTTTTTCTACGTGGCTCACGTTTGCATGCCAAAGTACGCAACTACGCACAAATGTTGAATTTATCGTACACAATTGTGTACAGTTGCGTACGTAATTACGTACAATTTCAAATGTGCTTATGTCGCGTACATTCAAAAGTGGGTAAGCTCCACGCACAATCTAGAGTGCATGTGGCCTCGTGCATAGCCCAGCAGTGAGAGGAGGGGTACGATGTGTCCCGCCCCACGCTGCTTCATTAGACACGAAATGACGCGGGAGAAAGGCTGGGGGGGAAGGGGGGGGGGCACGTGACGCCGCGGTGTAGAGTTCTCTGGGGGGTAGGGAGGGAAGGGGTAGGCGGCACATCCGCGACAGAGATGGGACCTAGATGGAACGGCAGCGCTCTCCGAAAATACAACAATATAGAGGAGGTTCAAAAATTTAAGTCATTATTATGCTTTAGGGGCACACCCCCTTATGCTTTGGTTTCCAACAC